AACTAGGTAAAGAAAAAAAAGCCTTTTCTAAATTTTAAACTGCTAAATAGAAACAGTTTTTAACGGAAATACTTATTCGTATCGGCCAAAATGTTGATTTAGGGCCTAAAATATATGCCCTAAATTATAATTGATACTGATCGACATTGCATATTAGCACCCTATTTTTGGCAACAAAAATTAAAATTTCATATTAAGCTCTAACGTCAAACCAATGAACCCACCCAAGTAACCAATGAACTAAATTGCGTACATGTAAGTAAAGACAATGAAGGTTATAGCAAGGGTTTTGATATATATATATATATATAATATTAACAATATTTTTTATGTAAATAACAAGTTCTTTCAATGCCTCGATTAACCTCTAACAAACCATTTGAATGTACTATTTGCAAAAAAAAACGTTACAAATCCTCAGCAGGACTTTCAAGGCATGAAAATGCTAAACATAATGATTATAACACACCTCCTATTCAACACTATATGCTGCCAGAAAATGCTATTAATGAATGGAAGAAAATGCTAGTACATGCTATCCATAAACGACTTCCTCTTGCTTTTCGAAAAACTGGAAAACAAGTAATTAAATTTCCATGTATGGAGGGTCAATATTTAGGACTCTTTAAACAATATTTAACTCAGGTGTTTATTAACAAAAAAGTATATAGATGTGTTTTTTCAGAACCTGGCGCATATCAAACTATTAGTTCAATATTAGATGATCAATGTTGGGGTGTACGGCATTATAAATGTAATCAGGTTTCTTACGTTGTACTGCTTATTCAAACAACTGCTGAAAATTCAGTTCCAGCTTTAGATGCTATACTTGCAAAAAAAGTGGCTAAAAAAAAAAAAAAGCAAGGTAATATTGATAAAGAAGAGTCTTCTTCTGCTATAACCTTGGAAAAAGATAAAGCATTGTGGCCAGAATTTATAGTAGACTGGGTTCAAGAAACAATTAAAGATTTTAGTAGGCATCAGATTACCTCCGGGTATATTAAAATACAATTTAATGTAGAAAAAAGCTTCTTTACTGATCCCAATACAAATCCATATAATCAATAAAAAATAAAAATATCAGAATAGAATAAATTTACCCGTGTGTGTTAATTCTCAATATTTGTGTAATCTTACAGAATCGACCAAGCAAAAGAAAAAAAAGGTCAGTTAAATAAAGTTCACATGGCCGATTTCTTATTGTCTAGTAGATTATTTGATTGCCGTGACTGCAGGTAAATCGCATTTTAGAG